CTCACGAGCGCTCGTCTCTTAACGGCTCGGCTCGTCTATGATCGGGTCCGCTCGGCTCGAGCGTGGGCTCGTCTTTTGACGAGCCCGAGCGGCTCGTGGATCGCTACAGTACGAGCCGAGCGGCCGAGCCGACGAGCCGCTCGGCTCGATTGCCATCACCAGATCGGTGAGGGAAAATCACGAATGAACAGTGAATTTCAAACCCTTTCTTTTAAGAGAGTAGAGATTATGCAAATGTAGTATGTAAAATATAATTTATAAAATACCATCTATATACAAAGCGTATTTTGTAAATTTTTCAAAAATTAATGTAAACGAACAAAAAGCCTTAGATGAAATTAAGCCTCAATTTAGTGGGAATTAAAATTAGGTTTTTGATAAAATAAAAAAAAGATGAAATGTGTTGTTAAAAAGTTGTGGACCTCATAAAGTGTGTGGTTAAAATTAGTTGTTGACTTTGATTTCGATTAAAATCTGAATTTTAATTTTTACTTTAAAAAAGGCTAAGTTCACAGGGGGCATTTAGATACTTAACTATTTATAAAAAAAATATAAAATTAGTAAAGGATCACAACAAGCTTCACAAAATATCTCTGTATGTAATTGTCAAGATATTTTAGAAAAAAATATATGTAATTTACTCCACAAGATACATATGTATATGTGAGTACAGTATGATTCCAATCCTTTCGAATTTTCTAATACATAATAATAATAATAATTGCCTGAAGCAGGATAGACCTTGTTTGTCCTAATCCCTAATTGACATGGATGACATGACCTCTATACAGACCAAAATTATTGAACTAATACTCACTACGTTTGGTCAAGCTTAAAATTTACAATGATAAATCTACTTATAAGTAGTTTATTCCATAGATTCTAAACTAAACAACTTTCATGTCGGATAGAACATTAGATGAAAATAAGTTGATTATGTTAAAAAAAACTTTTAGAGTCCGTTTGATAGGCATAACGTGGAAATGAATTTCAATTCCATATTAGTTAAAAAATAAAAACCCACCAAACACATAGAAATCCGTTTTCTATGAAAACAAAGAAAATTCAGTTTAAAGTGGTTGTACTTTGAATTCGATTTTCATTTTCATGTTGTAATCAAACGACCAAAGTGGAATTCGTTTTCTTCGGATGTAGTATTTTCCATTGAAAATGTGACAATTTATTATCAATATAGTTAAGTTTTTTATTTACGAAAGGTAATCCTATTTAGCATTAACACTTGTTTAGGCAATAGTGTGGTTCCAAAAAAGTTGTTCGATAAAGTTGTGATGCAAAGATATGTGCTAGTGAGGTTCACTCATTAATTGTCAAATGAAGGTGTTCGAGAAAGATTCGACACATTTGAATGATTAGACAACTAATAATTGGACCCCATTATCACATCGGTACTTAGTATTCGTTGCGCTACATAGAATTATTTTTATCGCTATTGTTGAATCAGATTGATTCAACTAGAAAAACTCAAAAAATAAAGAATTGTTAAAAGAAGTTAAGAAACAACTAATTTACCTTAAATTTGTGTATTTTTGTGTTTTCAATATTTTTTAACCACAAGATCGACCCCGATTCATTTCTAATTCGACTATTGTCCCTCGACATTTTTAAAGTTAATGAACGATCCGTCTGTTACAATTAAGGTGTCCAAATAGATTGTTACAAATTCTTCAAAACTCACGATTAAATTCATTTTCAATTACACATTTTTTTAATAAAATAATATTTTACATAAATTCACAACTCTTTCCTTCTTTTTAAAAATTATTTTTTAACAGAATATATTTAGACCCAATATTTGAAAACGACTAAACCAAACGCACTCTCAAGTCAAACAAAGCCCACCACCTTGACAAAAATAAAATTCCATATCTTGAATAGTACGTTTAACCAACCCTTTTCCCCATATAAATATCAATATACTTTCCTTTCTCGTTCTTGCACTGATTTCAAGCTTTGCGCCTTATTCCTTCTCCAAATGGAGCAATCAAAGACAGTAACAAATGGTTCACCAGTTTCTGAAATACACACCACCATAGAAATTTCTAGTCCCCAAAAATTAGCAGAAAAGACTGCAGCCAATGGTAACGTAACAGCACAAGGCGTTCCTGCAGGACCAGTTGCAGCAGATGATTCAATACAGAGTTCACAGAATTCCCAACAACCGCAGGTAATTAATTTGTAGATTCATAATATGTAAGTTCTACTGTTTTATCTATCCTGTTAGAGGGCGGGGGTGAGGTGGGTGAAGGGGTGCACACCATAGTGTTTCTTATCCTATTAGGGGTGTCTATGTTAGTGTTAGTTACAAAGTTTGCCTTATCCTGGTAGGGTAGGGATAAGATGGGGATGTATAAGATTATTTCTCGATTTGCGTGTCATCCTTGCCCCCGAGGTCAAGCTAATCTTCTCTGTGTCGCTCCAAATTTCAGACTACCCGAAGGGATGGACGGAGTAAATAGGTTATACAATTTTCCTTAGGGTATGTTTGGCAGGTCTTTTGAAAAATCAAAGGGAACTTTTGAAACTCAAAATTTGTTTTGAATTTAACTAATTTTATGAAAGTACTTCCGGTAGTCAAGAGAGCTTTTATAGGTTTTGGAGTAGAAAGTGTTTTTAAAAATTAATTTTCAAATAAAAATTAAGACAACTTTTTTCAAAAACTCTTCTATAAAAAGTAAAAGTAAAAACAAAAGTTATATCAAACAGACCCTTATTTAATCTATGATCTATTTCGCAGACGATCAGAGCCGTCTAAATGACAGTAAAATCCAATGCATAATTGTCACACAAATCTTGTGTATATACTATTGCATCCAATTCTACCTCGAGTTTCCTAGTGTAGGTCCACGATAAATGTTAAGACACCAAATGCCTTTAACTTGTGTTTGTGGGACCTCTAGTATCTAATGACCCAAAATTTCAAAAATAATGTTTAATTATGAAATTATTTAAATAACAGTTTGTATAGATATTATACTATCCTTAAACTGGCTCGACTATATTTTAGATTATCTTAGTCGGAATTAGGTATTGTAGTCGACTCGACTCGAGTATATTATACAAGCTTTTGCTATTGAATTATGTTGATTTCTAGCTTCATGATTATTTCCAGCATATTGTTGGTTAAAGGTGAAATATTTAGTTTCTTTTTCAAAGAGAACCAATTGTTTAATCTATGGCCGTGGCATAGAATATAATTAGAAAATTCTTGAGAAAAAGCAATGTTTTGATTAAAGCAGACAGCAATTAAGTGTGTGGACATTATTTGATATACAAAAGTGTGAAAGGTTTTCAGTGTACAAATTTGACGTGTGAATTGTTGACTATTAATTAATAATAAGAGGGTGTTTGGTAGGGGATTAAAATTAGATTTTTAGTGGACGGTGATAGAAGTTTTTGAAATGTGTGGCTGAAAAATTGTGGTATCCATGAAAGATGTGATTAATATTGATTGTTTGACTTTGATTTGGATTAAAATCAGATTTTAATCCGGACCAAACATGAGCTAAAATTTAACGAGCTAGACCCTTGATTCTCATTTGGTGTGGTTATAGATTTTCAAACCTTAGATTTAAGTAATGTTTAAGATCCTCAACCTATTTAAATTCTTGAATCTAGGTTCTCACTTGATCGAAGCCATCAATATGGATGATAAAACGTTTGTTTGTGAACGTTTTTTTAAACTGAAAAGCGATTTTTTTTTTAGATATACGTGATTGGAAATGATCTGAGAGAAAAATAATTTTTAAAAAATCTCTCATTTTCTTGAAATTTAAGGACAAAATTGTCAAACTAATTAACATTTCTCTTCAATTCAACTAAAGTTCACATGCAATTTTAAACATCTAAGGGTCATGTACCTACAATAGAGACATGTTAAATTAGTAGAATACATTACATATTTATTCACAAGTTGATCGATGAGAGACCAATAAAGATTATAACTCATTTTTAAAATCAACTTTCTTAGTCGAACTAAAAGATATATGTCAAATTGGATAGAAGTGTACAAATATATATATATATATATATATATATTAATGAACAGAAATGATCTAATGAGCACCGGTGCTCATCTTATCCTAAACACCAATGAGTTGGCACATTAATTCATTGGTGGATTGGAACTCACAAAATCTTTATCCACCAATGAATTAATGTGCCAACTCATCGGTGCTTAGGATAAGATGAGACACATTAATTCATTGATGGATAAAGATTTTGTGAGTTTCAAGAATTACATATATTAATGTTTGGGCCAAGAATCATTACTAAAGTAGATATACTTTCACGCTTATATGACTTTCACTAATTCTCTAGTGATAATGTGTTTAAAAAGTTTGGGCGTGCACACTATTTTAAGCAGTAATTAATTTGATGGGGTCCGCAAAAGTGGGCATTCTGACAAGCCTGACTTAAGAATCATTCAATGCACGTGCTTTTTAAAATAAAATTCTACGTCTTAGATAAAAAATAATATTGTTGTCCTTTTTTTTCTTTTGGTGTTGGTGGTTGGGGTTGGCGTTAACGTTGACGTTGACGTTGACGGTGGAGTAGGAATGGGTTGGGTGGTGTATGGACATAGATGGGGTATCGCAAATTTTGAGTTACTTCAGAAGGTGAGAATCGAGATAAGGGTGAAAAGGGAATCTCATTTTGATATTGTATTTTTATTTTTGAAGTTACTTTAGCGCCTGTTTAAACACCATTTTTTTATTAAGAATAGATTTTGAAATAGTAGATTAATGAAAAATGTGTAGTTAAAAAAAATGAAAGTTTTGGATTTACGTTTAATATTATTTTATTGAATAATGTATGATTAAAAAAAAAAGAAAAAAATATATTTTGAAAATCATGGAAACTAAAAAGGAGCCTCCCCAATTGAGCTAATCTTCACCCATTCAGGCCCAGAAAGGATATGGGCTATAAATTACACTTATGGGCTAAACACTTTGCTAGCAATCATACTTTGAAGAAGTATCATTTTAGTTATTGATTTTTTTTTTTTTAAGAATACATGGTTACTGACTTGTCACATATTCATCAAGAATTAGTCCTTTTTTTTTTTTTTTTAATTTGAAGCCTTGTGCAAATATGATCTTCGTGAGATGTCACTTCGACAATTTTAGTACCTATTTGAACCCCATTCTATAAAAATCAATTTTTAGTCGTACATTTTCTCCATAAAATAATTTTACATGTAATTCAATACTTTTTGCTACTTTTTAATCATATATTTTTCAAAAAATCACTATTACAAATCATGTTCTCCCAAAAAATGGGGATAAAAAATAAAAAATCCTTAGTCTGACAACCACTATATCAATGAGAAAAAGTTCAATCAGATGGTCCTATAAAATCTGACACCTTGATGTCCGAGATGGTAAGGGAGAAATAAAATGGGTGTGCATCGTCAAGGTGCCACATTTTAAGTAGTTCGAATTTTGAGATGTTGTGATTTGAATGGACAATCTTACTGCGTTTGCTTATGAAACCGTCTTATTGAAACTTCTCTCATCAAAAATTTCAGACTCAACTTATGTGAACGTTAACAGGTTGACTGTTTATTTACAGAAGAAATCGCATTGTTCCCAAAACATGCCCACATGTTGAACTAATATCATGCACAAATTATCAGTTAAAATAATCAAACATATTTCTTATCACATATTTCTCAGGATTCACAACTACCAAACAAGTTGACAGTAACTTGACTTGAACTAGTGTATAAGTATATAACTCCCAACCACTATCGACGCTGCAAAAATGAATAATGCTATTTGTACAAAATGAAATTACATAATAGTTTGCATGCAGATGATGTGTTAAAAAGAGAGATAATGTTTTTTTAGTTGGTTGCAGAAATTTTAATCAAATTATATCTAACCACATTATGTATATATAAATCAGCACGACTGTACAAAAATTCAGTGACCAAAATGACACGTTTTTAAAAGTTCGGTGACCATTTCTACCTCTCCTTTATACCTTTAGTGATTTTCTTGCGTGGAACGGTGGAAGCACTAACGAAAGAAATTTGCCACTGTTCTCCCATTAATCCTCGAGCCCTGACACAAACAAAAATGGATCTTATCCCTTACACGACATTGATGCATGTATTCGTACCTGCAAATGCTTGGGGCTTTCTTCTAATTTCAGTTCACACAGGTGATTTCTTCTAATTTCAGTTTACGGTCGCTCTCTATGAATTCTTCTTCAAATTTTCTGCAGTGGTTTTTGTTTAATATGTGATGTGATTTCTACTTTTAGACCTCAATAAGGGTTCCGATTTGTTAGGCAATTATTTTTAGTACATATCGACTATTTTGGGTTTGACTAGGACGTTCAGTTAATGAACTAAAATTCATTCAATTCGTGTTTTGCACTTTCTGGTGTCTTTTTTCAATTTTTATGAATTTTTCGACGAGCCCATTTCATAGTATGACAAAATATATTGTTAGTTCATATTAAGATCTGTCTGTTGATTTCCATCTCTCTTCCCATAGACTGATATATAATGCACGAAGCTTAAATTGAATCCATTTCTTATTACTGTGTCGATTGATTTTTTTCTTCAATTGATTTTATTTGTAAGTATTTAAGTTGGATTTGCAGACATTTTATAAATAATAGTTTTTTATGTTTGATAAAGATTGTGTTTTATTCTTCAGAAGATTAATGTTGTTCTTACTGATTTAATTTATGTATTTTAATTTGGATTTGCTGTTAATTGCGTAGAAATTTGATAAAAAGTAGCTTTATTCCTTTGCATATATTTGATAAAGATTGCGTTTTATGTTACAGTGTGAAAATTCCATATTGAAAAATTATATTACGACTATGAGGCTAGTAAATTTCACAATCTTCTTATTTACAGCGGATTATAATTCTTTACAGTGACATTGCAACTGTATAATAGAGACACGTAAATTTTCGTTATTGAGAAGATTGTAATTTTGCTATATTGATATTTTGGCAATGAATGCAGAAATTGAGGGAAACAGGGAGTACGCGAACTTCTATTGCAATGGGGGAGTATAACGGTGCAGAATATATAGTTGTTAATGAAGTTCCTTCTCCCAGGGTAAATCACGGTAAAAAGATATCAGTTTTACCTCTGGTTTTCCTCATATTTTATGAGGTATCCGGGGGACCATTTGGTGTTGAAGATAGCGTGAACGCTGCAGGACCTCTTCTTGCTCTTCTCGGGTTTTTAGTATTCCCATTCATATGGAGTATACCAGAAGCTTTAATAACTGCTGAGATGGGCACTATGTTTCCCGAAAATGGTGGGTATGTAGTTTGGGTTTCATCAGCTTTAGGACCCTATTGGGGTTTTCAGCAGGGTTGGATGAAATGGCTAAGTGGGGTTATCGACAATGCCCTTTATCCTGTCTTGTTTTTAGATTATCTGAAGTCGGGGATACCTGCATTAGGTGGCGGTCTTCCAAGGATACTAGCCGTGTTGGCCTTGACGATAGTCTTAACTTACATGAACTATAGGGGTTTAACCATAGTGGGATGGGTAGCTGTTCTACTTGGGATTTTCTCGATACTTCCTTTTGTGGTTATGGGATTCATTTCAATTCCGAAAATAGAGCCTAAAAGATGGTTAGTGGCGGATGTTCACAATGTGAACTGGAATTTGTACCTGAATACTCTATTTTGGAATCTGAATTATTGGGACTCAATAAGTACACTAGCAGGAGAAGTAGAAAATCCAAAGAAAACTCTGCCAAAAGCTCTGTTTTATGCATTGATTCTAGTTGTTCTTGGGTATTTCTTCCCTTTACTGACTGGTACTGGTGCTATTCCACTGCAACAGAATTTATGGACTGATGGTTATTTCTCAGACGTCGCAAAAATTGTGGGCGGAGTATGGTTGAGATGGTGGATTCAGGGAGCTGCGGCAATATCGAATATGGGTATGTTTGTGGCAGAGATGAGCAGTGATTCTTTTCAACTCCTCGGTATGGCTGAACGAGGGATGCTTCCCGAGTTCTTTGCCAAAAGGTCTCGTTATGGAACTCCTCTTGTTGGGATACTCTTCTCTGCTTCTGGTGTGGTTTTGCTTTCATGGCTGAGCTTTCAAGAGGTAGTAGCTGCAGAGAACTTCCTGTATTGCTTTGGAATGATATTGGAATTTATAGCGTTTGTGCGGCTAAGAATTATAGCCCCTACCTCCCCTCGGCCTTACAAGATACCAGTTGGAACAATTGGAGCCATTCTAATGTGCATTCCTCCAACCATGTTAATTTGTGTCGTATTGTTCTTCTCGTCACTCAAAATCTTGATTATAAGTCTAGTTGCTGTTGTGATTGGACTTGCAATGCAACCATGTCTCAAGCATATTGAGAAGAAGAAATGGCTTAGATTCTCCACAAGTTCTGATCTTCCCGATATACATGCTGCTACTCGTGAGAATGATTCCTTAATTGACTGATAAAGTTTCATATGCGAGCAAGTTAATCTTCTGTGGTGCAAAGAAAATCGCATTGTTGGTGAAAGTTGATCACGGATGCAAAGTTTCTTTTCAAATTTTAGCCACCTTGTCTCCTCCTCGTATGCCTTTTCATTTATGAGAAAGAGGTATTTACTAGAATAGTATTTGGAGCAATTGATCGAAGATGTTTGAACTTTTCTTTGTAGCTCTTTGATCTAACAATGTAGACTTGAATCAGATCAGGATGGAACACTTGTTCCACAATTAAGGTTTGCATTTATAGAATGGGACTTGAACTTGTACTGATATTCTTGAAGTTGTCGTGGATGGCCTTTTCAAGCTTCCATGTTGCACGCAGTAATGCATCATTAAGTCAACCTCTATAATTGGCAGCCCTTCTTTGCATGAACTCGTGTGCATTCAGGTTCAGGTCGGTTTCATGTTTCATGTAGATTTTTTTCTGAATTGATTTTTGAAAAGTGATTTTTTGAAGAATGTGTGGTTCAAAAATAAGATTAGGTTGTGGGTCTACTACAAAATTATTTTATTGGAAAAATGTGTGGTTAAATGAGTTTTGAAGAATTGTACCAATCAGAGATGAAAATTCACAAGAATAGTGATAAAATCTGTAAGGACATATCTGGTGGCCCCGCATGTTTGATCGTCTTCAATAAGAAAATCCCTTGTCAATAAAGATGAAAATAGCAATTATATATTTGTACAATTCTTAACAACATTTCAATCTATCTAAAGTTGAAACGAGCTATCGAATTTCAAGATTAATGCTCTAATAAGCTATCGAATTTGTATATAATTTCTCTACAAATTATCACATTTATTACATTTTTTCACTTTCCAATCAAATTTTCAAGTAATTAGAACCTAAATTTACATTTTCTCCTATCAAACTGTGTATATAGAATGTGACGGAACTCATTATATCCAATTTGACTTATATTTAACGAATTGTGTTTATTTGATTGATTATTAGTATTGAATATTAGTTATATGTTTTTTCTTTCGATTACTTGAATTGATTGTTTGTATCAAATGCATTATATGATTTTTAAATATAAATATGTATTTTCTTGTGATGAACAAAATATTAATAAAACGACTCTTCGAAATCAAATGGATGAAAATGATTAGCAAAATGTTAATGAAGAAATATTTTTTAAAATGTAAATTTACATTGTCTCAAATCAAGTATGAATCATTCAAAAATCAAACAAATTATCGATTTGTACATGATTTGATTGTGCCCCATAACCTAAAATGTCTGCGTCCTCCCTTTGCGGGCATAGGGCAGGTCTGTGTTATCCATTTGCCCCTGGAATGAAGTCTTCCCAGTCCACTCAGATTGGGATCTAGCCTCCTATGGAAAAATGTGAAATCCTCTCGTCCCGTTCTTATAGACTTGCTTACAGAAGGAGATGTCAAGACTCAAGATGGGGCAAAGTCGGAGAACATGAGCAGGGTCCTAATATTATAGCTCATTTTCTTGAGTTTGAAGAGGTAGACTTGGGGTTATATACAGAAACTACTTGAAGTTTCTATTCTGGGATATATGATCATTCCGTGACTTTAAATTGGCAGGTAATGGAAATCTAGATTTTAATCTACATTAAAGTCAACAATTCATTTCAATCATATATTTTATGAGTCCCACAACTTTTCAATTACATATTTTATCAACTGTGCTCAAAATTGATTCGAACCAGGAATATCGACAAATAGACTAATAGAAGCAACCACCATTCTTTTTCAACTAGTCAGTCACTGCAACAAATTTGCTTCCAGTATAACCATGCAGCAAGTAGCAAATAATTTAGTGAACATCGAACTATTAGCCTCATCTCCATTCACAGCACCACATGTATGAGATCACAATATTGCAATAACTATACATGGCGTCTCTCTCGGAGAGGGCAACCATTATGTGGTTTCCTGGTCACGTTATAACAAAAATAAATGTAGCAACTAAAAATCAGCTTCAGGGAGATGAAGCCGGAGAGGAAAAAGGATTGAGATAAGAATTGATTTGCAAATGCAAGAAATGAATTCTATTAATGATCTGTAATTTCCTCTACATTACAATGGAGTATACCGTCCACTATATATATAACAAGAAAGGAATCTTTACAACAATATTTACAACAAATTTAAAACCATATAACAGAAAGCATGTGCTGCTTCCTCCAGCTCATCTTCTTCTGGATTCTTCTAATGCTATTTGGCTTTGCTGAGTAGATGATCCTGCTGGCATTGCTTGCCATGTTGGCTGGCTTTGCTTCCCATATTTTGACAGCCCCCCACAAGATGGAGAGTAGATGTCTTCTACTCCCATCTTGAGCATGTGGGAATGGAAATTACTTGAGCATAATGGTTTTGTTAGTATATCTGCAACTTGTGAGTTACTCTTCAGATAGTTTGTAACTACACTTCCCTTTTGAATTTTGTCACAAACAAGGTGACAATCAAGCTCTATATGGTTGGTTCTCTCGTGGAAAATCGAGTTAGCTGCTATATGTAATGCTGCTTGGTTATTGCAAGATAGGAGAGCAGTTTGAGGATGAGCTACTTGTAAATCGTGCAATAAGTATCTAAGCCAGGATAGTTCACAACAAACGCTAGCCATTGCTCTGTGCTCAGTTTCTACTGATGACCAAGAGATGGTGTTTTGCTTCTTTGATTTTCAAGATACCAAAGAGGCACCAATGAAGACGCAATAGCCACGTATTGATCTACGCGTATCCAAACATACCCCCCAATCTGAGTCACTATATGCTCTCAGTTGCAGGTCTGATGTTGAGCTAAACAATAACCCTTAGCCTGGTGTTCCTTTTATATATCTTAAGACCTTGTACGCAGCATTCAAATGAGGGACTCTGGGACTTTGCATATACTGACTCAATAACTGAGCTGAATATGCCAAATCAGGTCTTGTAACAGTTAGATACAACAATCTTCCTATAAGTCTTCTATAGACAGAGGGGTTTGGTAAGAGTTCTCCTTGATCTTTAGAGAGCTTGATGTTCTGATCCAGTGGTATTTTAACTGGCATGGTACCAATCATTCCAGAATCAGCCAGGATATCTAGTGCATATTTTCTTTGACAAATGTGGATTCCCTCTTGTGATCTTGCCATTTCTATGCCAAGAAAATACCTTAGAGCACCCAAGTCCTTGATTTTGAATTTTTCATCAAGTGAATTTTTGATAGAATGAATAATTTCCATATTGTTGCCTACAACTATAACATCATCAACATAGACTAATATAGCTGTAAAGGAATCCTTCGTGCTTTTTGTAAACAAACTGTAATCTGATTTGGATTGTTGGAATCCTTGTTGAAGAATGAAAGATGATAATTTTGAGTACCAATGTTGAGAGGCCTGCTTTAATCCATATAAACTTTTGTTGAGTTTGCATACCTTTGTCTGATCACCTGCAGAATAACCTGGAGGAAGTTCCATATAAACTTCTTCATTTAACTCCCCATGTAAAAATGCATTGTTAACATCTAATTGATGCAAATGCCATCCCTTGATTGCTGCCACTGCAAGTAGAGTTCTCATAGTCACCATCTTTGCCACAGGTGAAAAGGTTTCATGGTAATCGAGACCTTCAACTTGGGTATATCCCTTTGCTACTAGTCTAGCTTTCTTCCTTTCCACTGTCCCATCTGCCTTGAATTTAATTTTGTAGACCCATTTACAACCTATAGCTACCTTCCCAGGTGGCAAGTCTATCACGGCCCAAGTGTCATTTAACTCTAGGGCCTTTATTTCAGCATTCATGGCATCCTTCCATTCAGAACACTTTACAGCCTCTTGATATATGTTAGGTTCTGTGTGTGCAGAGATGGATGTGATAAATGCTTTGTGTGGTTTTGATATTTTGTGATATGATAAAGTAGCACATAAAGGGAAAGGGGCACCTGGTAAGACAGAACCTTTATCCTTGTTCAATTCTTGTGAATGGGGACAGTGAGGCAGCTTGCTGGCACACAAAGTCCTGCAAATATGAAGGAGCTCTCCTGGCCCTGGTAGACATGCGAGGCTGGTAAGGAGTTGTGGGAGTTATGCAGGTGTTTTGGAAGGAATCAGATTGTTCAGTTGAGCTATTTGGACTCAGGATTTCATTCTCATGTTGCATACTTTCAGCAGACTCTATTATGGATTGAGAAGTTTGGTTTATAGGATAGTCTAAATTAATATTTGTTGGATGAGAATAGACCAGATCATTGGGGCCTAGAAGATTATTTTCAAGTTCTAGCATCTGATGAGATTTTGTACTCTGAGTTTTGTAAGGAAAATTGTTTTTATAAAAAACAACATTTCTAGAAATAAAAATTTTATTTGGTTTAAGATCCAACAACTTGTAACCCTTGATCCCATAAGGGTATATCCTAAGAGAACACACCTTCTTGCCCTTGGATCGAATTTATGCCTATTATGTGTGAGAGTAGATGCAAAAGCTGGACAACCAAAAACTCTAAGTTGAGAGTATGTAGGTATGGTTTTGAATAAAAGTTCAAAAGGTGTTTTGTTGTCTAGTAGAGGAGTGGGTGTTCTGTTAATGAGGTAGACTGCAGTCAAAACACAGTCATTCCAATACCTCATAGGGATATTACTTTGGAATTTTAAGGCTCTAGCCACATTTAGAATGTGTTGGTGCTTTTTTTTCAACTATAACGTTTTGTTGAGGTGTTTCAACACGTCTTTTGATGTATGATTCCCTTATTTGAGTAGAATTCTTTCATGTCAAACTCCCCACCATTTTCACTTCTAATAACTTTAATTCTAACTTCAAATTGGGTTTCTATCATATTGCAAAAACTTTGTAAAGTGTTAGATGTTTCAGACTTAAGTTTAAGCCTATAAACCTAGGTGCACCTGCTAAAGTCATCAACAATGGTGAGGAAGTACTTTGATCCATCATAAGCAGTCTCATTACATGGTCCCCACAAATCACAATGAATTAATTCAAAACAATGCT